ACTTGCAATAAAAATAAATTAATTTCTTAAAAAGAAAAATAAAAGAGATGGGTGAAGGAAATCAGCAGACACTTGTAAAAGGAACACATGCAAATGGATAAGACATACAAAAAATGCTCAAGCTCTCTAGTAATAAGGGAAATGAAAATAAAAACAACACTGAGGTTCCACTTAACTCCAGTGAGAATGGCCCACATACAGAAAACTACCAAGAACACTTGCTAGTGAGGATGTGGGGGAAAGGATTCCTCCTCCATTGTTGGTGGGATTGCAAGCTGGTGCAGCCTCTATGGAAGTTGGTATGGAGAATAATCAGGCAACTGACAACTCACACACCATATGACCCAGCAATACCACTCCTGGGGATATATCCAAAAGACCTGATACATACACATGAGAAAGACACTTGGACCTCTGTATTCACTACAGCACAATCAACAATCACAAAATCATGGGAACAATCTAGATACCCAATGCAAGAGGACTGCTTAAAGAAACTGATACATCTGCTCTACATAATACTAGCCAGTTATTAAAAAAGAATGAAATTTTATTGTTTGCCTCAAAATTGGCCCAATGAGAGATCATTATGCTAAGTGAAATGAACTAATCCCAAAAGGATAGATTTCATATGTTTGCTCTAATATAACTTCCATTAAAAACACAAAGTAAACAAAAAACATATATGAAGGTGAATAAATACACATGTGGAACTCCTAACATGAAGGATGTAATGGAGACCAGAGTACCAGAAATCAAGGAAAATCAACAGAATGCATCTCTACTAATAAATGAAGGCAGACTCCCAATGAAACTTCTAAATATGGTGAGGCAACAAAAACTTAGAATCTTCACTCTTGCCTGTGCCAACAGTGTCATGACTCACATAAAGAGCACAAAGTTGGAACCATTTCACTTTCACCTCTTAGATCTTAGGAGCTGCTTGATCATTGGAAAAACACTGAGAGGAACTAAGCACTGGCAGCCTGGAAGGTTCAATAAAGGGCATTTTACTTACATGAATGACCCAGTGTGTGTTGTCTTCCTTTCAACCCTATCGCCTCTGCTCTGGTAGGGATACATAATGACGCAGGTGTTGCTGGCACAATATAGAGACATAGTGCAGCATACATCACTGCATCCAGACCAAACATGGATTCCTGGTGAAACTGTTGAATATATGCTGACAGTAGGATGCTGAACTCTCTGACATGTTCCTTGCCTACAATGTTGGGAAACACTTCAATAGCAGAATGACAAACTTATGACTGTTTATGTAGGACTACCCATTACAATACTAGTGGGTAAATCAGTAGTGTGGAGGGTCTTGGGGAAGGTTACAGCAAAGCCAAGAGACAAAGAAGCTGCATTTTTATTTAAAACCTGACCCAAAATGTTAATAATTAGGACAGAGAAATAAATATTCTAATCAACATATGTCACCTTACCTGTAAATGGAAATAAAATGGATTACCAAATTATTCTCAAGTGAATCCTCACAGGCTAGGAAATAGTGAGATGATGTATTCAATGTCTAAAGAGAAGGACATTTTCAAACAAGATTATATCCAGTGAAACTATCCTTCAGAATGAAGAAGAAAGTAAGTATTCTCTGGACAGAGAATTTCCCACCAGACCAACCTTATGAAAATTTGAAGTGGGTCATACACCGGAAGTAACCTTACCGAAAGCATAACAGTATCATATTCACTAAGAGAACACACACAATCATTAACAAGTTAACAAAATGTTAGCAGTTAATTCTCATTGACCAAAGTTAAATGCAGTGCATTTTATTCCCTAGTCAAAAGCTGTGTCTTTGCTCACTGGGTTTTGAAAAAGGAACAACCATATTCTCCCTACAAGAACTCACTTAGTAGATAAAGAAAATGAAACTATGGAAATGGATACTACAAGCAAACAGAAACAAGAAATGAGGATCATTATACTAAAAAAAAAAAAAACTTAAATCCAAACCTGTAAAAAGAGACAAAGAAGGACATTATATGTATAAAATGATCAATTTTACAAAGCATATGTGATAATCATAAATAAATACTGACCTAACCCAAGAACAAGGGGGTTTCCAATCTGGGGTAAAGGATAAATCCCTTGCTTACAACACTGGCATTTCATATGGGAAGTGATCGCAACACCTGCTATTCCACTTCCAATCCAGCTATCTGCTTCGTGTGTGAGAAAAGCAGTAGAGGATGGTCCACGTGCTTGTGCCCTGTACACATGGAAATGACCTGGAAGAAGAACCTATTGTTCCTGGCTTCAGTTATCACAACCTTAACAACTGCAAATATTCGGAGAGTAACTAACAGATAAAATGTTTCTCTCTCTTCTCCTCTCTTTGCTTCCCTCTTTCTCTCCATCTCTGCCTCTCAGATAATTAAAAACAAATCTTTAAAGAAAAACCTTATAAAAGAAAACTACAGAGACAAATGCCAAAGATTTTACTACAACCTAAAGTGAAAGATGGACTCCAATATGAAACTAGTTTGGGAATTTAACATCTTACTATCATCAAACAACAGAAGACCCACACAGAAAAATTGACAGAGAACATCAGAGAAGAACCAATCACACAGATTTTCACAGAATATTTCACCAAAGAAGTAAAAGTTATTCAATTTACTCATCACCACATGTGCACATTTTAAGAGAGACCATATATCAACGTATAAATTAATCTCAATTAAGAATATCAGTTAAGAAAAATCCAAAAACAAAATAAACAGTAGGAACAAAACTGGAAAATCTAAAGCTAAATGAAATTAAACATGCCACTGAATGAATAATGTGACACTGAAGAAATTGAAAGCAAAATAAAAAACCTTCTTGAAGAAAATTATGCAACTGTATTTCATATGTGTCTCTGAAAAAATTGACAAAACATTTTGGAAGACAGGAAATTAAAATACAAAATTTCAACATCCATTGAAATACAGCAAAAACATTATGGAGAGGATCATTTATAACAATAAGCACAAAAAATAGAAATATCTCAAGTAAATGATTTCAAGGACTTTTTTCAAAAGCAAAAGTTAGCAGGAATCAATAAATGATTTAAAAAACAGCAAAAATGAATGGAATTGGAACAAAAACAAATAACATTGCAACAATGCTAGCCATTTTTAAAGAATATGAGCAAAATAAGAATTTCTCTATACAAAAAAAATCAAGTAAAATTAGAGATGAAAAGGAATACATCATAATAAACTACTTTGAACAATTCTATACACCACCAAATTGGAAAATCTGAAATGAACAAATCCTTGACTACATATATTTATCAGGATTGAATTAAAAGGTGGCTTGGCATTGTGGCATAGCCTGTGAAGCTTCCATTTGAGTGCTGGCCCAAACGACCACTGGCTTGAGTTCCAGCTATTCTAGCTCCCTGCTGATGGCCTGGGAAGGTGGCAGATGATGGTACAAGTGCACAGTTAACCCAGCCCTGAGTTTCAGAAGTTATATGGAGTTGGTGTCTGATACCAGTGTTTCTATCATGATAAATCTAGGCTAAGGAACAGAATTGGGATTTAGATTGCCAGGCAGGGGGAGCACCAAATCATGGGTCAGATACTGGTTAACTGCGGAATTAGGAAAAACTAATACACCTTTCTGAATCACAGCTGCCGAGGTGTAAATAATACTTGCAATAACATATTCTTCTCAAAAACTGTTGTGATAACTACAAGAAATTACAAATGTTAAGGACATAATGTGGTGTCCAGCTCAGACTACACAGACTAACACATCCTGGGTTGTTTATATCTCTGCTTGATAAAATTTGAAAATATGTTGATCTTGAGGAAGTGATTGCATAGAGCCTGGAAGAATGCTTTGCAGAAAACAGCTCACCTGAGTGGTAAACCACATTATGGTGCCTTCTCTAGGGAAGAGTGAGAGGGAACATTCCACAATTCAAGAAAATGAGCTGGCTGAAATACAGAGGGAACCTCTGGTCAACATACAATATCAGAGGAGAAAGAAAATTAATTTCTTCTTACAAACAAACCAGAGCCTCAAATGGCATTTCACCATGCAGCTTTCCAGAGGAGATGTGTTTTATTTGAGAGTGGGGAAAAAGAGAGATCCCATCCACTACATCATTCCACTACAACTGCAAGGGCTGGTCCAGGTCATAGGCAGGAGCCTAGAACTCCATCTGAGTCTCCCTACAAGACTAGAAAGCAACAGGAGGAAGGGGGCTCAGGACTCATGCCCAGCATCCTGTGTGGTTTATGGGCATTCCAAAGAGTGCACAAAGTGCTCTACCAGACACCCAACACCAGGGTGGATTTAATTTTATTTTTAAGAAATCAGCATTTAGAATTATGTGATCTTCAGGCATTTAGTAATTTCATTTCCACTGTAGAATTCATAGAAATTTGTGTTTTCTGCTAGTACGTTTGCTACACTGTATATTTTAAAGTTTTAAATTTTTCAGAGATCTAATTATTTATTTGAAAGATTTAAGAGAGACTGGCAGAGAACGAGCAAGAGAAGGATGAGAAAGGGAGAAAAAAAAAAACTGATAGGCGCTCCAACCAAATCTCTCACTTGGGTCACTGGGGCACAGACACTTGAGCACTTTAGTTTGGTTTTCCTAACTAAGCACATCATTAGCTGGGAGCTGGACTGGAAGTGGACAGGTCATGATGTGGTGCCAACATTTGGTTCTGGCATCACAGGCAACAGTTTTAACCACTACAACACAACTGCTGAACCAAAGTTTTACTGTTACTCATTCAGCCATTAGTTTTATGACCCAAAGCCTACCTAGTCAACACAACTTCCCACTACAGTTTATCTTTTTCCTAGTAATATGAAGTGTAACTAGTGCGGTGAACCTGCCAGGGCTGAGACCTGGAGTCCCCAGTCACAAGAACGTGTGCCTGATTCAGGAGGCGCCCTTTCTGCCACCTTCCCAGCACCCAAGGTGGTCCGCAACCCCATTTACCTGGTCTGGTCCCCGGGGTTCCTACCTTCTGTCCTGAGCAGCAGGAGCTGCTGTTCTTCACTTTCCTTCCTTCTATGGCTTCTGTGAGGAGTTTGTCAGGATCTTCGTCTAGCAGGCAGTCCCGGAGTTTATCCCATTTGTCATCGTCATGCCTGGTGGAGTTCAGTAGACACTTGTCTGTCTTCAATAGGAGGCAGAACCTTTACAGACAGTGCTACTGGCGGTTTTCCCAGCCTGGGGAACACAAGGTCAGCCCTGCAGGTGAGCCCCAGGTCTGGCCCCTGACAGATTCCCCACCTCAAGTCACAATGAGTGTTGCCAAGCAACGCCATGAGACGCATGCGCACTTCACGCCTCTCCCCAGCCAGTCATGAGGCATGCGCACAAAGGCCCAGTGGGCAGGACTGATGGTTGGACCTCCTTTCTGAGCGTTTATCTTGTTTTCAAAAACGAATGGAGATTGGTTGTCTGTAGACACAATCTGGGAGAGATTCATACCTGGCTTGATGCTAAAAACCTTGTCCAGAGAAAACTCTTCAAAAGGTTCAATCTCCTTACTCCTCAGTCCCTCATTCCTGTGGGTCCTTCAGGGTTTCCATGGGAAATGGACAGCTGCAGTGAAATCGCATCATGGTGATTTTAGATACTGTGTCTCTGAAGGTAATCAACTGCAACTCTGAAGAATTAATCAGCATTTGTTGTTCACGATTCATGAGGAAAAATTACCATTTTTCTCTCCTTTTAAAGAACGTGTTTTTTCAAAACTTATATGTTTTAAATGAGAGGCAAAGAGATAGAAAGACAGAGCAGATGTTCAAACCTCTTTTACTCCTTTCCCAGATAACCACAGGAACTGAGCTGAGCATGTCTGACACTAGGAGACAGGTGTCTCTTCCATATCTCCTGGGTGTGTGCAGGGGCTCAAGCATTTGGTCCACCCTCTGCTGCTTTCCCCTGTGCATTGCCAGCGAGCTAGGTCAGAAGTGGAACAGCAAGGATTCCAAGTGGCATCATGGCTGTGAGACTGTACTCACTATACTTCAACATCAGGTGATATATCCTATTTCTCACATTTGGTGAGGGTCTTCACAATCTGCTCTCTGAAGGGTCATGTCCTACCTCTCACAAATATTGTGATGCTTCCCAAAATGCTGTCTCATTTTATTATTCAAACACTCTTCAGTTAACCATTGTGCATGAATTCCAAATACTGAGCACAATTCATAATGTAAAATATAACTTTTCATTCAGCTTTTCATACATAGCAACTATTTACACATGGCCAACGTTGCAAGGATGAAGCATTTCTCAATTATAAGTGTACTCCAAACATTCATTTTTGTTATTTATTTATTTTAAGGGCTGGGACATGGACTCAACAGGCTAATCCAACAACAACAACAACACAGGGGTTCCACATTGGTCTCCGTTCATGTCCTGGCTGCTCCATTGTAATTCAGCTCCGAGGATGTATATTGAGAAAGCAGAGGAGAATGTCCCAAAGCCTTAGGACCCTACACCCTTGTTGGAGACCTGCAAGAGCCTCTTGTCTCCAGGCTCCTGTCTTGGCATCTGCTCAGCTTTAGCCATCACAGCAATTTAGGGAGACAAATAGCAGACGGAAGATCTCTGTCTCTCCATCTCTCTGTGAATCTGCCTTTCCATTGAAAATAAATGTATCTTTTACAAAATTACTTTGTCGATGTTTTTGGTTATTTTTTTGGTCTTTTAAAAGTTTTATTTTTATCTTTATTACATGGATGAGGGGATTGCAGACCTCTGAGGGCCTCTGATTTATGCGGAGTGACTCAATACTGCGGACTGGTAAATTTGGGTGAGACAAATGGTTCAGCAGTTTCTCCTGTGTCTGATGGTGAAGGGCAGAAGGAGTGCGCCACTCCTTGCTGAAAGTCTGCATCAATCCTAAGGAAAAGATTTAGTCATTTGGTGTTACCTATATTTCCTCTAAAATATACCAATGGACACAATATTCCAAGGGTGTTATTTGAATGGGTTTGATTACCCTGAAAAGTTGTTGGTTTCCTCATACTGGAGTTGGAAAGTTCTTTCCTGGGTCTATGGGCTGTCCTTGTCTGCCTATGTGTGTCCACAGACCTAGGTGCTTGCTGCAAAGCCTGTCCAGGAGTGTTTTTCACCCTGTCCATCTATCCATCTTCTGGTGAAATATTCAAAATCTTCTGTTGGCTTAGATGACCTGGCTATCTTGTTTTTCATGTGTAACTGGGCATGCTTTCTTTTCTTATGTGGAAGTCAGAAAGCAAAATTGTGTAGTCCTGTAGGATGTCATCCTGATTCATTGAACATGGCCTTAGGATTTTCCTACAGAGGGTTATCCTGCACTACACTTGGTAAATTCTGCGATGTTAGGAACTCTCTTGGATTGCTCACAGCATTAGCTGTGTCTGACATGCCAAAGTGTTTTCACATGCAACAATGTATAAGTCCATTAAGTGAAGACACTAAGTACACAAATCCCATTTATGGTATAATTTATGCGTTTGAATATTACTGACAACATTAAAAATATATTTGGAAGCTGACCTGATGGCTCAGCAGACCTGCATGCAACCTGTGGCACTTGCATCTATGCCATCTGGGTGACAGTTCCTGTGCTGGATGCTCCATTCCAATCTGGTTCTCTGCTTGTGGCCTGGGAAAGCAGCAGGGGATGGCCCCAGTCCTTGGGACCCTGCACCCATATGGGAGACCCAGGAGAGGCTTCTACAACTCACCTGGGGAATGCACCAGGAAATAGAATGTCTTCTTTCTATCTCTTTTTCTCTTCTGCACAGTCTGCCTTTAACATAAAAATAAATCCCTACATATGTATTTATTACACATATATATATAAATTTCAATTGGATAGTTTGAGTAACTTTCAAATCATGTGTTCAAAACTGATAATTTTCTCACTAATTTTTTTCAAATATTATCTTGCTTGTTTAATTCAATAGAGAGAAAATGATTTATCAATGATTATTTCATTCCCTAAATATCTGATATATCCAGGTCAATGCCAGACTTAAATGAAATGCAAGATTGTAATATGAGTTGAACAGGAGACGTTCTTATCTGAGCCACTTCAATTTCCAACCATGTTAGTGGGAAGCTTTAGTCGGTAGTGGAGCTAGAACTCCATCCCAGGCTCTCTGAGACAGGATACATGCATATCAAGTGGCTTCTTAGCTGATACAGAAAATGCCCTGCTACTATTCACTTCCCAAATGACATTAAAAACATGGGTAGAAAGTATTTTCAGCCACATTCTTTTTTGAAAAAAAAAAAACATAAAACAAGTGGGATAATGTGTGTATATATCACACAGATAATCTCTGAAGAACAAATAGACAAAAAGATATGTGTAAGATTATTAGACATACAATCAAAAACATGCATGGGATGATTCTGATATTTGAAAAAGTTTACTGAGAGTTCTTTTGTGACCTATAATGTGATCAGTGCTGGAGAAGGTTTCATGTGTAGATGAATAAAAAAGGCATATTCAATGTCTGTGGAATAAAAGACTCTCTTGATTTATACACATCACATTGGTTTTGAGGGTGCAATAACTGGTTTATGAAAGCAGAATGGTGATTTATGATATAAAATTATTATTATAATACAATGGTTGCTTTCACGTCAAAATTCATTATGGTCATGAGAGTTATATGACTTACAACTGATTATATCAGTACTAGGTGAGCTTTATTGCATCAGAACGGTGAAGGATCATACACAAATTGATTAAGATTTTGCAATGCTTTTTATTAATGGATGGTTTATGGCCTCTATGATAATGATAATTGTGCAATTATCATTTTCTGACTTCCTAGTTGATCATATCATACTGTTAGGTTGATATCAGAATATGGCTTTCTCTTGCCAATTGATTATGATTTCACTTGTTTTGATATTCATAGATTGGTGTTTTATGACATTCAAATTCAAATTCATTATAACTGCAAAATTCTTGCTTTTGACAAAGCAATTGGTTATGCCATCAGACAGTTACAGGTTGATCAGATCCAGTTTTCTTGCATGACTCTGAAATCACACCATTAGGTTTATTATATCAGAATGGTGGGATATCACATACCAATTGATTATGATATCAAATTTTCTGATGACAATTTCAAATTTTGACCTCACAATTAGTTTTGATGACAATGAAAAGTTTATGATTTGTGGCTGTGTATTGTAACTTTCTGTTGCAGTAGAGATTTATACTGTAAAGCCTTTCACTTTGTAAAGATAGATAGACAGATAGGGGAAAGATAGATGATAGCTAGCTAGCAAGCTAGAGACACAGATAAAAAGATAGATAGATAGATAGATAGATAGATAGATAGATAGATAGATAGATAGAAATCTCAGATACTGACACTCCTGGAGACAGGTTTCTGTGTTTTAGGATCACATGCTTTTATTCTTTTTTTTTGGTCCCGGTGGCATGGCCTAGTGGTTAAAGTCCTTGCCTTGAACGCGCCGTGCCAGGATCCCATATGAGCACCACTTCTAATCCTAGCAGCCCCACTTCCAATCCAGCTCCCTGCTTTTGACCTGGGAAAACAGGGAAGGACGACCCCAAGCTTTGGGACCCTGCATCCACGTGGGAGACCCAGAAGAGGTTCCTGTTTCTTGGCTTCAGAGTGGCGCAGTACTTGCCAATGCGCTCACTTGGGGAGTGAACCATCGGACGGAAGATCTTTCTCTCTGTCTCTCCTCCTCTCTGTATATCTGACTTTGTAATAAAAATAAATAAATCTTAAAAAAAAAAGCAAAATAAAGTACACTAAGCAGTGTTTTTAAAAAAATTTCTTTTTTTTTTTTTTTTTCTGTCCTTCTTCCACAGTAACAAATCTCATGGAGGCCAGGGTCATGAGTCAAGTACTTTTCCATTCAGACATGCAGCTGCCTAATTAGGTATTCTTTGGAAAGAAATATGAACCAGTAGAAATCAGCATTCCTGACGCCGCTGCGCTGCTCGGTTCCGTGTCCAGGGACCACGGAGTTGGGCAGGGGCGCGCTGGGCGCCTCCATAGCGTCATGGACCCTCTCCCTGGGCCTCAGCAGGCACCAGCCGCGGGAACCCCGGGCCTCCTTGCAGAGCCTGAGCGATCCCCGGTTCTCTGGCGCCCCCTCCCTCAGCCCCATTTTTTTTTTCCCCTGCTCTGGCTGTTGCTGCTGCTTGTATGCTCCAATATGGCAATGGAACCGCCATCCCACCTTAGGCTCAAGGCGCCCGGCCCCCCAGAAATGCGGACCCCAGGGGCCAGCAAGGCCGCCCCCAAAGACACCCCACAGCCGCCGGCGGGCGGGAGGCTATGCTTCCTCAAGGGCTGCATGCTCCCCTTGCATCAGGTGGCCTGGCACATGTATGGGAAGGACAAAGTGAGCATACTACAGCATCCAGATGGCACAATTTTGAAACAGTTACAGCCTCTTCCCAGGGGCCCAAGAGAGCTGGAATTCTATAATATGGTGTATGCTGCTGATTGTAATGACAGTGTTCTTCTAGAGCTACGAAAATATTTGCCGAATTATTTTGGCATTTTGTCACCTCCCACTGCACCAAATGATTTATATCTGAAACTGGAAGATGTGACCCACAAATTTAATAAGCCTTGTACAATGGATGTAAAGATTGGACGAAAAAGCTGTGATCCTTTTCCATAGTCCGAGAAGATTCAGCAGCAGGTCAGCAAGTACCCACTAATGGAAGAGATTGGGTTACTGGTGCTTGGCATGAAGGTGTATCATGTTCATTCTGATAGGTATGAGACACAGAACCAGCACCATGGAAGAAGCTTAACAAAAGAAACTATTAAGGATGAAGTCTCCAAGTCTTTTCATAATGGATTATGATTAAGAAAAGATGCTGTTTCTGCCAGTATTCAGAAGATTGAGAAAATTCTTCATTGGTTTTGTAAGCCAGAATCAGCCTAACTTTTATGCAAGTTCATTACTGTTTGTTTATGAAGGTTCATCTCAGATAGCCACTACAAAGTCCAATGACAGAACTCTGGCAGAAAAGTTTTTGTCCAAAGGACCCCTGTCAAATACGGAAGTACTGGAGTTCAACAATAACTTCCATCTGTCAAATTCCCCAGGAAATGGAAAAATAGAGTCCTCAATAGGCAAAAGCTGATCCAAGATGTATGCTCGGCACAGAAAAATGTATTCAAAAAAGCATCACAGTCAGACTTCACTGAAAGTTGAAAGTAGAGAGCAAGACAATGGGTGGAAGAGCTTATCACAGGAGCATTGAAATGGAAATGTACTTTCCCAACTGGAAAAAGTTTTCTACCATCTGCTTACTGGTTGTCAAGAGATTTCAGAAGTGGAAGTGCGAATGATAGATTTTCCTCATGTGTTTCCTAGCAACAGCATAGATGAGGGATACGCTTAAGGGCTCAAGCATCTAATCAATGTACTTCAGAGTGTGTTAGATAATTGACTCCTTTGCTTCAGTCTTTTTGAGGGGTGGTCGATCACAAGAGCAGTAATCACTCCTTCTGCCCGCTGATGCTGTGTGAAGAGTTTGTATTGTGCATCAACGTTCTATTTGTCTTTATACTTTAGTAGAAAGCTTAACATTTTTACAATCATACTCAGGAAAACTAATTTGTTAGAAAACCATGAAGAAAAAGAAACTTAGGAACGTTAAGCAGGGAATGTGGTGGTACACGGCATAAACACCTATTTGGCTCAAGCAACATGGAAACCATTCTTAAGTCATCAAGAGCTTTTTTCACATTCTGTAGCCAATTTATCATGAAGTCTCTGTCCACCCACCTTTGACAGTGAGCCATATCTAAACTACTATGCTATTACGACACCTATGAAATCTGGAGAGCACAGGTTGATATCCTTAGGACTGCTGTGTAAGGAGTGACTAAAACTGGAGAAATTTCTGCTTGAGGACATTCATTGTTTCAGTTTTACATTAAAAGTCAAAGCAGCATATCAAAAGGTGCTTCTTTGTGCAATTACTTAAAATTGTTGCATTCCAAAAGCAGATTTTTCCTTTAATTTCCATTTGTAGATATATTTTAAAATATAATACTTTAAAGAAGATAATTGAAATGCACAACGACCATAAAAATCTTGACATTGAGCGTGCTAAATATTCTGACTGGAATTAGGAGGAGAGAGGTTGTTTGCAAGAAATGAAACTTTCTTAATACATGTTTCATTTATGGGAAAATGAGAATATACATTTATTACATTATGAAATTATGATATGGCAGTGAGGAAAAGTGTAGTAAGCAGCGTGTTACTTTTCTGTATTTGCAGTGCCAAAAAGGTGAATGATTAAAACTTTGCTTTATTTCTCCTTTAAATAACATTTGCAGACTTTTAAACTTCATACATGGCTGCATTAACTTGTTCATGGTAAGAATTTATGTTGCCGGGCCCGGCGCGGTGGCACAGTGGTTAAGGTCCTTGCCTTGCACGCCTGGGATCCCATATGGGTGCCAGTTCTATTCCGGCAGCCCCACTTCCCTTCCAGCTCCCTGCCTGTGGCCCAGGAAAGCAGTCGAGGACGACCCAAAGCCTTGGAACCCTGCACCCGCGTGGGAGACCCGGAAGAGGCTCCTGGCTTCGAATTGGCATAGCATTGGTTCTTGCACTTACTTGGGGTGAATCATTGGATGGAAGATCTTCCTCTCTGTCTCTCCTCTCTGTATAACTGCATTTGCAATGAAAAAAATAATAAAAATAAATCTTTAAAAAAAAACAGAATTTATGTTGCCACAAGTAGTGTTTCCTAGAATTTGTGTTAAGTGATGAATGAAAGGCAACATCCAGTCTTAAGTTGTTAGAGAAAGATCATGTATAAATTAGCAGATCATATGAAGTTTGGTGCATATTGCAATCCATATTTTTGTCTTTCAAAACAATTTTATGTCGCATTCAACAAAATAACTAATTCCCTGGAGGTCAAGGGCAAAACTGCTTTCCCTGGAAACAGAGAGGCAGCTTTGTCTCACACCCACTGCCTCCCAAAAAGTCACTAGGTGTTTGCCACCAAAGAATCTAAATTTTCAACCTGCAGGTATATTTGATGTCAGTTCTGTCATCCCTTACTTTGATTTCCTACCAACTAATCTAAACAGTTAAAAGTTTTGCTTATATATTCTTGGAATATGTCTTGAGCTTGTACGTTATTACTTTCTCCCATCCCCCCCCCAACTTTACAAATTTACATTTAAATCTAAGCACCATTTTTGTATGTTAAGTTATGGAGGAAAGTATCAAAACTTTACATTTCTTACCTTCCCAAGTCTGTCTTGAGAGTGCTTTTAAAAGTACCAAGTGCTCTGCAAATTTTACGCTTAGTAAGTCTATTAAACCAAGATTAATTGAAAATTTGTATACATTTTGTAACAGTAAAATTTGATGTCTTTTCATTTTTTATTAGAATCAATGTAAATATTTTTCATGTGGACTTCATACCTTTTTCTCTGCTGCCCATATGAGTACTGATTAGAGATTTTTGTGGGATTGAATTTCAAGATTTTTAGTTCTATTTTTTCCATTACAATATGGACTTCTGTTGTTGATGATATTTGGATAATTGTTCAGGAAACCTTAAGCATAAGTAATAAACACTATCCTCAATCTTAACATGACAAGAGTCTTTTTTGTATGGAATGGTGTCAGTCTACGTACAATGAATTTAATAAATTTAAGTATTATCAATATTTTTGCACATTTTAGCTCCAAATTTTCATTTATCTGCATTTGGAAATGTGGTTTTATTAAATCTGCGTGTTAACATTTTTTATACAATAGATCATGTTTTGTTTTTTTTAAAAAAGAACATTTTTATCTTTTGTTTTTCTGGGAAGGGATTAACATCTAATCCTGTTCACATTTTTTATCACTGTTATCCAATGCTGATTTTATGTTAAGTAAGCTTACATGTAACAGTATCAGTTTATGTAATCTATATGTGACTATTTTACTGTCCTTGTCATTTGATTATGCTGAGATTTACCACTGTGGGGATGAATGATTGCTGTTCAACATGTGCATTTTGAATGTGTAGACATTTAAGAAGTGAAGTAAGAGTAACATTTGGTGTCATGGGATTGTTACAGCTTTTTCACCCTAGGAAATATAGTGATTTTAGTGTATTTCTTTGAATGCATTCATAAAAAGAATTTTTAAAGAAATGGTGTCTGTCGAGAGGATGCACTCTATGCTAGGTAAAGGCTCACAGGGAAGGAATCTCAACTGAACTCAAACCACGGACATGCAACGGGGTAGAGAAATCCACCATGAGGGGAGGATTGGGGGGAGAGGGGGAAATTCCAGTACCAAAAAAGCTGTACCACATAATGCAACGCAATAAATTAAAAAAAAAAAAAGAAATTGTGTCTGTGAATAAAACATTTCTCTAATTAAAAGTTAAATTTTACAATAGTTTTATAATAAAATATTTACATTGATTGATATTTTAATATTGAGGAAAATTGCATAGATCAAGTTAAAATCAATGATAAATCCTAATATTTTATCTAAATAGTTTTTCAAGAAACAGTTATGAAAATGTATATTAAATGACTGTATCATGGAGATTGTGGTGTTTGAACTCTGTATTCCTGAATCTTCGATGTATCTGGAATTATACTTAGAATGCCTCTTTACACTACAGGTTTGATATCGAGGGGCTCTAGACTGTGTTCCGTTGAATAAGGAGTTTGGATATAATTTTAATACTTTGTGATTTACCTGCCGCTTTGTTTATATCAGAGCTAAAGTCTAATTATCAAATGTATAATGTTACTTAAGAAAACAGTTTCCAGATATATTTCATTTGCAAGGGTTTTTTGCTGTATGCAGATGAAAACTTTTTTTTTAAGATTCAAAGTATTGGAAAAGACATAGGCTGAAAGAAAATGTTTGTGAAATTGAAGAATTATGTCCCCTATTTTAGTAGTTCCCTGTTATCAGTTTGGCTTTTTATACTTTGAAACTTACTTTGCTTTAAAAAAATTATTTACAATGCTATGTGAATATCTTACCCAGTG